CTCTCCTCTCCTCTCCTCTCCTCTCCTCTCCTCTCCTCTCCTCTCCTTCTTCTTTGAGCTGAATTGGTTGACTTGTTTGGCGGTTGACCACTGAAATGAAATGGCTCCTCTCACACCTGGTGATTTCAACAAGGTCGCCTGAATTGAGAATTGATTTATGTATGCTCACCCTTCGGCAAAGGTGATCTGTGTGCAGGGGGACCACAGGTCCACTATACCCAAACAACGGTGTACTCGAGAGAATGACACGTGTCAAATTTTGGAGACCACCCCGTGGGGGAAACTGGTCCGGACCGTGGGCGCATCCATGTCTTGTGTCAAAGGAGGAAATTCATGATGACCGGTCGACAAACAAAAGGTATACTGTATATCTTTGAGGTGGTCTGGCGTTGAGCTCCTTTGGCTGGGAACATGCAGAACCAAAAGGCTTGAATCAACAATGCAAACGAAACAGGCAGACCTGCATGTGAAGACACAAAGGAAATCAAAAGCATCAAATCTCCATAGTGTGCAAAGACCCTTGCTCTGCTCCCAAACAGAATTACGAAGAACGTTTGGTGAACTGCCACGGGTTTTTAGGCCAGCATAGTCCCAAGTCGAACATACTTTTCTCCTCTCTGCGTTGCTGCTCTTCGCGCAGGCTCGCAACATAGAAACAACACTACGCGTGTGGTATCCTCCCCGCGCGCGGACCGACGCCCGAAACCTACAATTTCGGAGTCCCCTCACGGCACGGCGACCATGTTGTCACAAAACTGCATCTTGCCTCTGTTCCTGCCGAAGTTGCTGGAATGCGCACTGGAGAGAGAAACCATCATGTCACGTACTCAAACATGCTCCACCCTGATGGACCCCCGAATGGGCTGAAGTACCTCCTCAGAAGGTATTTGGACCCTCCAAACCCCAAACACCTTTTCAGAAAGTACTTGAAGACCTGATGGACCATGTGTTTTGTTTTGAGGACTGGACTGAACATGGAAGACCTGATCAGAATAGCATGGAAGACCTGCACCAAGTCAATTCACCCAACGAGACGTTCTTCGCGGTCACTGTCTGGGACAGTCTTCGTTACGCTTCTGCGGGTTCGAAAGAAATTGCCATTTGTGCAGAGAAATTGCACATTTTATCATGAGTTCACGTGGGTGTGTTTCAAAGAACGTGATCCCTCCAAACCGTCTAACACACTCGCGTGAACTCAATAGCAGTGCGGGTGCACTGTACAATGTTACGTGGCACGCACCTTGCTGCCAAAACCACCAAAAAAACTATAGACCAAAAATCCCCACACATCCTTCAGTTCAATATCCAGTTCCACCCAAACCCATTAACTCTTCCATGTTGCATCAAATCTAAACAGATTTGCGGAGAAACACATGGGACCTATCTCGGGTCGAGAGCCACCACACTCCTTGGTCCATTCGTTGCCGCTGAGTGGCCAGTGCCTCACAGTCTCGCTTGCTTTGGATAGCCCTTGATGGCTGTCCGCACTGCCAAGTCAGCCATGATCTCCTCCCACGTGCTCATCCGTGCCATGGTGGCGACACTTCGACTTGACATGCACACTGCCCCAACATCAACACACCTTGACCGAGGGAACTTCTATGTTTCCAGTCATCTTTTGTCGGTCAACGTCCAGTGCCAGGTGGAGGTGCCAGGCCCCTCCTCGCTTCCACCGTAGACTGCAGGGATCTTGTACATGCGCGAGAACACCTCGACGACACGTCCCATGCCTGGGGCTGAGCATGGCTGAGCAAACAAGCAAACTGGGCATGGGAAGGAATACACTCTGACCCACTAACATGGAAGTAGATCTTAACCAATTCCAACCAATGGTGAGAATTAGGAAGGCCAAAAGGGGACCATGAGTCCTTGCAGGATGGTACCCGGCTACTTCTGGTTCGTGCCCCATCTCATGAATGCAAACTCTTTTCAATCACAACTCGCTGAAAGGAGCCTTGTAACGATCACCTATAAGGACCCAAACCAATTCAGCTTCACTCCAAACCCCCAGAGCGGCCTTGTCTTCACCCGTTGTCTTCGCCCAGTTCACGTCCCGTCACCGGAAGAAGGTCTGATTCCGCCTGTTTGGGTGACGCCTCGCCCGCCGAAGACCTGCACCGCGTTGTCGGCCACGAGGTGATTCCTGGGAGCGCGCGCGGGTGCCGCGGGAGCGCGCGCCTCGCGGATCGCGCCTCGCGGCGGCCAGGGAGGTGATGAGGTTTAACCGCTCAATCACGGGTAAGGGATCCAAAAAAAATCAAAAACATATTCAACGGGGATAAAAAGGGAATCAACAAAATATTATAGCCCACTGAGGATGGTTGGGGTAATAGTAGTAGCGGGTGATGGGCGGATCGGTCACCAGAATCGGTGACCAAGCTGGTCGGATCGGCCGCCACGGATCGGAGACCAGGGATGGTCGGATCGGTCGCTGGACAACACAGATCGGTGACTGGCAATTGCGGATCGGTGACTGTTCCTTAGGATCGGTCGCCAGGATCGGTCTAGATAGCATGAGAGAACGGAAGTATATACCAACCACACCGGATCAGTCGCCAGGATCGGTCGCGAGCGAATTTATAGCGTGGAAGACCCGGAAAAAAAAAAACCAACCACACCGGATCGGTTGCCAGGATCGGTCGCCAGCGAATTATATAGCGTGGAAGACCGGGGAAAAATACCAACCACACCGGATCGGTCGCCAGGATCGGTCACGAGCGAGTTATATAGCATGGGAGACCGGAAATATATACCAACCACACCAGATCGGTCGCCAGGATCGGTTTAGATAGCATGAGAGACCGGAAATACCCTGAGCATCGGCTATTGATTCTAATCAATAACTTTTTTCCTTGTTGAAGGTATGTTTTTTCAATTTAAAAATTTTGAATATTTACTATATCAATCTGTTCAATAGTAAATTCGAACCAAAAAACATTGAAAAACATAATGAGAATCAAATGAAAAAGGGTCAAAACACACCAAGTAGAATCAATAAGAAAATCAATTGCAAAAATGACCTTGTAAGCCTTCCCAGCCCAGTCTTTGAGCAGCTCTTTTCCTCAGGAAATCTTAGTATGCCTGCCCTTTTGCCAAGGGCACATGGATGAGATTCCATCCATGCCATGGCTATGGTGAGACTCGACCCTTTTGTCAAGGGGACTTGCTGATGTGTTGGCCTTTTGTCAAGGGGACTTGCTGATGTGTTGCCCTTTTGTCAAGGGGACTTGGACAAAATTCCTTTTGTCAAGGGGCTTCTGTCTCTGCATTTTCTTTGAAGCTGAAGCCTGGTCTGGTCAACTGTAGCTGCAGCAAGACTCGATACTTGAGTGACAGTTTGTAAGAAAGTTTGCTGCTCTTCAATCCAAAGCAGCAAGAATGCCCCAACTGGATCTTGGAGACAAAGTCCTCACCTCTGAAGTTCCAATGAACCCTTGGGTTCACATATTTACTGTCTCTCAGGAGGCGGTGGCCACTGTGGAACTTGAAGGTGACATGAAATAATTTCCTGCCTTTTGGCAAGGCCCATTTGTTCAAGAAGTCATAGGTAGTAAAGAACCTTTTGCCAAGGTCTTCCACCAAGCTGTATTCTTCAGCTGTGAGAAACACTCCTGCTCCATCAAACACTTGATGATGCTACACCAAGCATGCAGGCATTGTACCATAGCCCCTTGCACTTCATCCTCTGAGTCAAGGAGTGCTCATCTCTGCTGCTTTAGCATCGAGCACACCATGGACAGCCTGAGGTTGTTTAACCTCACTGGTGTCTTGTCCCTCTTGTAGATGTCCAGCTGGGCCAAAACAATACCAGGCTTACTGGATCCTATACCCTCGCAGTAAAATATCAGCTTTGGGTTTTTGACAGTATACCTTAGTGTTGAACACCGCTCTGCTCGGACGCCTTTTCATTCCCCACCTACCTTCATGTGAAATTAAGAAAAGGTCCTCTGTTTAAACAAATCTTGTTTTTCAAAATTTCCATGGTTTCGCAAGCATTGAGCAGAACCACTTACCAAGGCCTTTCAATGCCTTGCTTGAATCACGCGTATGAGGCAGGTTGAGCAAGCCTTCAGCCTGTCCCATATGTACCACTATAGGGCCCCATAGAGTCCCTCAACCTCTCGATCTTGAAACGCAATATTGAACCAATCCCAAAATTGCTGGAGCGAAAACTCCTGCCGCTGGTTCTCCATTTAGGCCCGCTCAAATCCGAAGTTTGGCGGCGAAACGTTTGAAATGCCGAAGCTGTGAAGCTCTTGCTGGTGAGAAGATCCGCTGCGCTCAGAGATGCTCCACGCTCCCGAAGCGCCAGCGGCGCCGCGCTCACAAGTATCGCACGGCCTGCCAAATGTTCATTGGCACGTCTGCAGTCACCACCTGTCGACATGTCGAGGCTGCACTCACTGCACGGTCTTTGATTTTCATTCCCTTAGAGACACTATTGACATGCTACAGGGTACATTATGCCTTAGCTGTCTTAGAGACACTAGGTGACATGGCGGCTGTCTCAACATAGTTCCTCAAATTTGGATCGTTTTAGGGGTGCATTCCCGTGATGCTGAAAACATCCTCTGCAAGCCAAGCCACCTTCACCATGGACATGAAGGGTCGTCTGTTAGACTTCTTGGAAGGGTCATGTGACCTTGGCAAGGGTGGCTGGCAAGGCTGGCTTGCAACGTAAAAAGACTGGCAACACATGGAATTATAATGTTCCAGCGTGCCATTTGCAGCAGAAAATCACAGTCAGATGGTGCTGGCAAGGTGCAACTCAAGCACGACTGCCATCTTCAAACCAAGGGCAAACTCGGCCACAGCCACACGCTCACCGCGCCACTGTGCGACCTGCAAGTAGCTCCGCTGTCCTTCCCAAGGCTCGGCCGAGTCGTCCTTGAGCTGGTCCGGCAAGATCCTCCTCTGGCAGAAGTTCGGCGGCAGGTCGTAGGTCTCCACATAGTCAACGTTGAAGTCCTTGTCGTCGTTCATGAAGGTCACATTGTCCCCCGCATGGTTCCACTGGCCAGTGGTCTGCTTCCTGTCGTGTGAAGTCAATCAAAACATTCTAACAACATGATGGTGTCACCAAAGAATCACTGCTTGGTGTGCAAGGTTGCAAGGCTCTGCAAGGCTGAATGCCCGCCTCAAGACCTTGAGCAGCTTGACTTGCAGTAGGCCAGCCATACTCCTCTTCAAGCACCACATGAAGTGCCCCTTCGACTCGCACCACCAGCTCCAAGCAGACTGTGGCTCCCACAGGTACTGACGCGCTCAGGTCGAGCGCCAGACAAGAGTGTTTAGAACAAAGGCTCATCTGCAAGGGTGGCAGCGACAAAGAATTCAGGAGACCTTTGGATAAGAAGAATGAGTTCCAACGTCTTGAACAATCATCTGAAGAATGTTGAAATCAAATCATCAATTCTCTATCTTCCATTGAATTCTGCCCTTGCCTGGGCTCACATTCCATGCTCAACACGCCAAGTGGCTGAAGTCGTCAACCTGGAACTGGAGTATCGATGGGCTCACTGGGTGCTTCGTGAACTCAGCCGGCAAGCCAAAAGGACAAGTCCACCCACAGCCATGGGAACGCGGTCATCATGGCACTGCTCATGCACGGATGCCCGGAACTGCATGGCTGGCCTGCAGGACTGTAGGCGTGCTCCAAGGCTGCTCCCTGCCAACATCCAACTTTGATCAGCAGGTCCAACTTTGATCAGCAGGTCCTTCAAGACACGAAGCACCGAGCAGCTCGGCATCGGCATTTGTGGCCCACCTACGATTCCCAAGGACGCTTCTAGTGATTCTAGTTACTAGTAAGCTTCAAAATATTAGTAATTCCCAAGGACAGTCTAGTAAGACTCTTGTTACCACAAGTGAAACGATTCCCAGTGAAAGGATTGCCAAGGACGATTCTAGTTACTAGTAAGCATATTAGTTACCAGTAAGCTTCTAAGACAGTCTATTATGCTTCTTTGTTGTACAGTGGCCACGATTCCCAGTGAAACGAATCTCAAGGACGCTTCTAGTTACCAGTAAGCTTTCTACTTACTAAAAGCTTCTAAGACCATCTATTAAGCTTCTAGTGACTACAGGTGAAACGATACCCAGTGAAACATTTCCCAAGAACCCTTCCAGCTCAATGTCACAGTAAAATGCTGCTTTGGGGTGGAAGCTGAAAGCTCTGATACTCAGTTAGCGAATCCCAAGCTTACCACTTGCTATAATCATAGCAAAGTCTTGAAGGGACTTTGGCTCCCACAATGAATAATAATTCACCCTTGCCCTAGCTGTCTCAACTGTGAAGCTCCTGCCACTGGACTCTAAGTTGTGCGTCCAAGCGGTTCCCTGTCCTTGCAGACACGAATCGCCGAGTAGACGTGGGTGTCCAGCTTGTAGTCGTGGCTTCCAGGGATCAACTCTCCCTTGATGGTGGCCTGGAACTTGCCACCTTTCATCAACTCGTGAAGAAAGGCCGGGGTGCAAGGCACCGTATCACTCTGTAGCGCCTCAAAGGCGGAAGCGGATTTGTTTTGAAGGCAGCTATATTTTTGTCTTGAAAATCATCTTCTACGACTTCTATGACTTGATGGTCCATGGAGCTCTGGATCTGTGGCTTCACTATCTGTGCCAAGTGGCTTCAAGCCACGTGATCAAAAGCTTCATGCGCATCTGGTCGCGCCCATCTGCCAGCCATGCAGCAAGACCTTCCCAGGCAGTTGCTGCTAGGACAGGATCAACAGAAGGTGGTTGATTCCTACGTACAGTATGCTGTGACTTTGTGGGGATTATCGTGTTATACACCATGACGTTCATCAGCTTTCTAGTTACTCAAAGCTTCTAAGACAGTCTAGCACGCTTCTTGGTACTACAGGTGAAACGATTCCCAGTGAAATAATTGTCCAGGACGCTTCTAGATACTAGTAAGCTTTCTCGTTACTGCAGGTGAAACGATTCCCAAGGACGCTTCTAGTCAAAAACTAGTAAGCTTTTTAGTTACTAGCAAGCTTCTAAGACACTCTAGTCAGCTTCTTGTTGCAATAGCTGGAACCAGTCCCAGTGAAACGATTCCCAAGGACGCCTCTAGTTACTAGTAAGCTTCTATAGCTACTACAGGTGAAACAATTCCCAGTGCAACGACTCCCGAGAACG